GGCTAAAAGAGCTTTAAGGTACCTAATAGTAAAAGCGGGAGCTCTGGTAGCATAGTGCCTAAGGCACTTGACTGCTAACCAGAAGGTTGGCGGTTCAAACCGACCAGCCACTCCTTGGAAGGAAGATGGGGCAATCTACTTCCGTAGTGAAATCACCTCGGAAACCCAAAGAGGGGTCACTATGAGTCGGGTCCGACGCGATAATACATAACAACAACAGTAAAAGCCCAGATTGCCTTGAAAAGACTATTAGTAGAATTATGGACATCCAAAGCAATTCTGGTGAGGGCTCAGAAGGAAGTGAGAAGAGCTATAAAGAAAGCCTCTCTCAACTTAGAGAATATATATGGTGCCAGCAACAGAATGTTGCTAGAAATGTGGATATTTAAAAAAATGCACCTCTGGTGAGGTTTTAAAAGAAGACAAAGAACATGTGATTGGACAATGGATGAAGGGTGATGTGGTAGCAAAGAACTTGTCAGAATTATTTCAGATGTTTGTAAGTGTGAACTTGAATACTTGTCTAAGGAGGTTTCTAAGCAAGATCTTAAAGGAACTGCATGGTTTCCACTTGCCAGTTAAAGTAAAATGTGAGAAGAAAGAGATGGACTTAAACATGAATGTGCAGGTGAATGTTTACATCAAGTTGACACACTCCTTAAAACAATCAATCATGGGAGAACAGAATGGCAGTATTTGTAAGAGGAGATAGCCCAGAAGGCAAGAATGCACAGAAAAGAGGGACACAGGGATGAGGTAACTACAGGGAGAAAATGGGAAGAGAGCTATTACGTTGTGGGGAATTGCAGTCAATGTCATGAAGCAAAATGTGCATGAACTGCTGTATGGAAAATGAATTTGCACTGTAAACTTTCACCCAAATCACAATAATTTTTTTTTTTAAAAAAATGAAAACAAAACTTAAAGATTTGAAAAATTCTATTGTATAAATTAAGGACATGTGTCCTAGAATATTCACCAAGTATATGGCTACACAAACTTTTATTAAAGAGATTAAGCCTGTGACTGATGGATTCAACCAATTACCACAACAGAAACCCATTATCTTAGACTGAAGGGGACAGAGAAAGAACTAAAGGAGATAACATTCTTTGCCTCTTGGAATTCTATAGGCAGAAAAATAAGTCAAAGGAGCTGCATCTGTTATCCTCCAAGAAAATAAAAGAATCAAACCCTGGAGCAACTCAGAGATCAGTACAAGTGTTGGAAGGAGCACAGGAAGCAGAGTTGCCTAGGTCTCAAAGGGTGAGGCCATGACCCGTAGGGTTCAAAGGGTAGGGCCATGACCCGTAGGGTTCAAAGGGTGGGGCCATGACCTGTAGGGTTCAAAGGGTGGGGCCATGATCTCCTGGATCTCAAAAGGTGGGACCACAGCCTCCTACGTCCAAAGAACCAGATCTTTCACTCTTGGGCTGCTGTTAAGGTGTGCCAGGGGTTGGGGCTGCTGCCCAAAGCTGGCCAAGAGGCAGAAGAATGTGCCCAGCTGGGGCTGAGGGAGTAGGGTCACCACTCAAATAGACTAGGGACAATGAGGCCACCCAAAGCCAAGGGAGCAGAGTTGCCATCCCACTGGGCCTGGAAGGCAGAGCTGAAGCCCAGGGACAAGAGGCCTCTACCAGAATCCAGAGAGTGCGGCCAACACTCTTAGTCTGGAGGGCAGAGTCATTGCCTAAACGGTCTTTGAGAACAGAGGATTGTTTTCAAGCCTTGAAAGCTAATATAAATTGTTCTGCTGGGTTTTACACTTGCTTGGTGCATGTTATCCCTTCTTTCCCTCTAATTTCTCCCATTTGTAATGGAAATGTCTGCCTTGTGCCTGTTCCACCCTTGTACCTTGTACAAGATAACTTGTAGTCTAGATTTCACAGGTTTACAGATGAAGAGGAATTCTGCCCCAGAATGGAAGCTATGCCTTAAGTCTCACCCATATTTGATTTAGATGATTCAGAAAATGAGATTTTGGAATTGGAATCAATTTAAGACTTTTGGGATGATATGATGGGATGAATGTGTTTTACAGGTGGCAAGGACATGAATTTGGGGGTGGGGGGCAAAGGATGGAATGGGAATAATGGGAATTCTAGAATGCTTCATTATGCTCATGAGGAACCTGTACACAGACCAAGAGGCAATTATTCAAACAAAACAAAAAATGGGGATACTGTGTGGTTTAAAATCAGGGAAGGTGTGCATCAGGGTTATATCCTTTCACCATACTTATGCAATCTGTATGCTGAGCAGATAATCCAAGACTGTAGACTATATGAAGAAGAACATGACATCAGGATTGGAGGCAGACTCATTAACAACCTACATTATGCAGATAACACAAGCTTGCTTTCTGCAAGAGAAAAAATTACTTGCAGCACTTGCTGATGAAGATCAAAGACAACAGCCTTCAGTATGGATTACACCTCAACTTAAAAAATAAAAAATCCTCACAACTGAACCAATAAGCATCATCATGATAAACGGAGAAAAGACTGAAGTTGTCTAGGATTTCATTTTACTTGGATCCACAATCAACACCCATGAAAGGAGCAGTCAAGAAATCAGACAACGTATTGCATTGGGCAAATGTGCTATAGAAAACTTCTTCAAAGTGTTAAAGAGCAAAGACATCACTTTCAAGGTTGAGATGCACCTGACCTAAGCCATGGTATTTTCAATCACCTCATATGCATGTGAAAGCTGGACAACGAATAAGAAGACTGAAGAAGAATTGCTACCTTTGAGTTATGGTATTGGTGAAGAATATTGAATATACCATGGACTGCCAGAACAAAGAAATCCATCTTGTACAAATCTGAAGTACAGTCAGAATGTTCCTTAGAAGCGAGGATGGTAAGACTTTGTCTCTTGTACTTTGGTCATGTTGTCAGGAGGGAACAGTCCCTGGAGAAGGACATCATGCTTGGTAATACAGTGGGAGCTCTGGTGGCACAGTGCCTAAGGCATTGGACTGCTAACTAGAAGGCTGGCGGTTAAAACCCACCAGCTACTCCTCAGAAGGAAGATGGGGCAATCTACTTCCATAGTGATGCTGCCTCGGAAACCCAAGGAGGGGTTGCTGTGAGTCGAATCGACTTGACAGCAGTGAGTTTTTAGAAGATAAATGGTCAGAGCAAAAGAGGAAGACCCTCAATGAGATGGACTGACACGGTGGATGCAACAACGGGACTCAAGTATAACAAGGATAGTGAGGATAGTACACGGCCAGGCAGTGTTTCATTCTGTTGTACACAGAGTCACAATGAGTTGGAACCGACTCGACGGCACCTAACAATAACAACCACTATGTGTATATGTATATGTATATGTATCTGTATATGTATATGTATATGTATAGATTAATGAGGCAGGATAAGTGTGAGATATGCCTCACCAGAGGGCACAACTCAACTCACTGCCGTATCCAAGTCACACTTTTTATCTTACAAGAGAGAAAAGGAGAGAGAAGCAAGCAGAGAGGAGAGGGACCTCACTACTACCAAGAAAGAAGAGCTAGGAGTAGAGCATGTCTTTTGGATCCAGGGTCCCTGTGCTCAGAACCTCCCAGAACCAAGGGACTACTGATGCCAAGACACATGGAGACCTGCAAGGCCTACAGATATTGAAAGGAGACAAAACCATTTCCCAGTGTACACAGAGAGAAAGCCTTCCCCTAGAGCTGGCACCCTGAATTCAGACTTCTAACCTCCTAAACTGTGAGAGAAGTAATTTTGGTTTGTTAAGGCTATCCACTTGTGGGATCTCTGTCATAACAGCACTAGATGGCTAAGACACTTGCAAACTCAAGAATAGGGAGCAACTGTTCCCATGAAGTCTAAGAAACACCCCTGGATTCTCATCATACATCCCCCTCCTCACTAAGACATCCTTGGTGGCTTTCTCTTGAAACCAGTGTCTTCAGACAGAAAAACATGGGTCCCCAGATTGGGTTCAAAGTCAATCCCTCAAAATAATTGAAAGCAGGCATTTAAACAGATACGTGTACACTGATGGTTAACATGGTCAATGGCTAACTGAAGGGCTGGTGGTTCAAGTTCACCCAGAGACACCTCAGACGAAAGGCCTGGCTATCTACTGAAAAATCCAACCATCGAGAACACAGCTCTCCTTTGACACACATGTGATTCTCATGTGTTGCTGTCAACTCAACGGTTAACTGGCTAATGTTTGCTGCAGCATTATTCACAATAGCCAAAGGTGGGAACAATGCAAGGGTTCACCAACATATGTATAGATAAACAAAATATGGTCTATCCATACCATGCAATATTATTCAGCTATAAAGAGAAATCCAAAAACCTATAAAAAACAAACTCACTGCCATCAAGTCAGATCTGACTCATAGCAACCATCCTTGGGCGTCTGAGGCGATATCACTACAGAAGTAGATTGCCCAACCTTCCTTCCGAGGAGTGGCTGGTGGGTTTGAACCGCCAGCCTTCTGGCTAGCAGTCAAATGCTTAGGCACTGCGCCACCAGAGCTCCTATAAAGAAAAATGCAAGGTTCTAATACATGCTACAATACGGATGAACCATGAAAACATTGTGCTCCATGAAAGAAGCCAGACACAAAAGGACAAATATTGTATGATTCCACTTATATGAAATATCTAGAATAGGCAAATGCATAGAGACAGAAAGTAGATTAGAAGTTACCAGAGGCCATGGGAAGGAGGATGGGGAATTATTGCTTAACGGGCACTGAGCTTTTGTTTGAGGCGATAGAAATATAGTGGTAAAGCCTGCACAACACTGGGAATGTAATTAATGCCACCAAATTGCACTTAAAATGGTTAAAAACAGTTAAAATGGAAAGTGTTAGTTTTTTACTACAATAATTTTTTTTTTTTTTTTTTAAAGGGGAAAGTGAATCCCTGCTTCATAGGCCACAGGAGAAGACAAGCACCATGAAACCAAGCCCTAAAGTTTCTCCAAGTTCTCAGGACAGAACTCTGGCCATCACTTACTACTGGTTCGTGATCTTCTGCTGGGAGCTGAAGTTAAAGGCCTTGCGGCTGTCTACCATTTTCTGAAACTGCTGCCTCAGCCTCCGAAGTTCCATGTCCACCTGCTGCTCTTTGGCCTTTTCTGACACTTCCTGGGGTTCTTCGAAATCTTTTCTCCAGTACTTCTTTGGCTGAGAGAGACAGAGGGCAGTGAACAACAGGTTAGGAGACTAGAGAAGGCCACCTTTCCGTTCAAGGGGGAGGAGGGTGGACTTGGATGACGGCCGTTGAGTGACATCAACTGCTAATGTGTTACATGGAAAGCCTGTCTACAGTTGCTCTAGTGGGAGGAGGCTGGGTCCCATACTGGGTACTGAAGAGGCAGACTTGCTATGCAGGCTAAGAGGGTGTTCATTGAAGTCCTGGGTTCAAGTCCTGACTCTGCCACTTACAGGCTGGATGACTTTGGGCAAGTCACTTAACGTCTCTGGGTCTCCAGTCCCGTGAGGATAAAATGGGTATGCATAAATGTGTTGTGAGGATTAAAGAAAGTGATACATGTAAAGCAAATGGCACAGTGCCTGACCCACGGCCAGCATTCCTCATGCAGGAGCTGTTATTACCATCGGCATCTTGAAGGAACCGTGCTTCTCTCTGTTCAGTCAAAGCCAGCGATCGCGTCTTTCTCTCTCTGAAATGCCCTGTCCACAGGGACCAAAGAAAGAGAACTTGTGAGACACCCTATGGCACCTCCTCCCTCCCCCACCCTCCAGCGGTCCCTTCCTCCTCTCGAAGCTTGGCACATGAGGAGGACATAGCAGATGGCTGCCCGGGTGTGCAAAGAGGTACTTAAAAAAAAAAAAAGCAGCAGAGTCTGCCTGAAACCTGTTCCTCTCACCGTTTATTATTAGGAACTGGACAGATGGTTCTTGAGTACCAGTTACCCTTCTGCTCCCTGTGTTCCCAAAGAAGAGGGGGCAAAACGGCATCAGGGTGGTATGTCCCCTAATGGGGTTAAAGTGAACTTTAGCTTCAGCTGTGGGTGGACTCATTTTGAGCAGGGGCCAGTGGTTCTGAGAGGCACTTTTGTTGTTATGTGCCGTCGAGTCGGACCCGACTCATAGCGACCCCTCCTTGGGTTTCTGAGGCAGTATCACTACGGAAATAGATTGCCCAGCCTTCCTTCCGAGGAGTGGCTGGTGGGTTTGAACCGCCAGCCTTCTGGTTAGCAGTCAAGTGCCTTAGGCACTATGCCACCAGAGCTCCCGAAAGGCACTTTTATAATATCTAAATGTGGATTCATCTGGCTCATGACTTCTCAGAGGTGATCCACTGTAACCCACATCCCAGACTTGAGGGGCTGGATTCTGAAAGCAGAAACCAAGCTTTGCCATCCACTGAGGGGTCTTGTTGTGTAGTGGTTAAAAAAAAAAAAAAGCATTGGTTGTGGAGATCATTAGATCTGAATTCAAATCTCTCTGTAGTCACTGACTAACCCTGGGCAAGTCACTCAGTACTCTGGGCCTCTGTTTCCTCAACTGGAAAATGGAAGAAATTCTAGAAGCCTCCTCATAAAGGGCTGGGCATGTAAAACACCTAGCACTATGCCTGGCACATAGCAAGTGATCAGTAAAGAGTAGCTGATATCATATGGGTTACTTCCCAAGGTTTAGCATAGAGAATGTTGATGGGCATTCGAGAGGCTCCCAGTATTCCTCTCTACCCTGAATTTTCTTTGGGAAGTCCCTCACTCCTGGAGCTTCTGGACTAGAGCATGTGATCTTGGATAGGCCAATCAGAACACCAGATCCCTGGCTAATCTGCATAATCCCACCACTCCTGGTTTGAGTGATTAGTTCAAGGATGGAGACAGAACCTGCTAGTCCAAGCAGAATGAATTGGGATTTAACCTTGAACACTGAGGAAGAAGCTTTGTTTTCTGCTACACCTGAGTTTATGTGAATGAGGTTGGCAGTGGCTGGCAGCCATCTTGCCTCTATATGGAGCCTGAGAATAAAGCTAAGATGGAGGAGTGCAAATAGAGAGAGATTGAATCTTGGGGACATTATCCAAGTCTCCCAATCAAGTCAAACCTGAAAATACATCTGGGTCATATTTAATTGTTGTTGTTGTTGTTGTTGTTGTTGTTGTTATGTGCCGTCGAGTCGGCCCCGACTCATAGTCGAGTCGGCCCCGACTCATAGTGACCCCTCCTTGGGTTTCCGAGGCAGTATCACTACGGAAGTAGGATTGCCCAACCTTCCTTCCGAGGAGTGGCTGGTAGGTTTGAACCGCCAGCCTTCTGGTTAGCAGTCAAGTGCTTTAGCCTCTATGCTACCAGAGCTCCTCATATTTAATTATGTGAGTCAATATGTTTCCTTAAAGCAATTCAAGATGAGTTTTCTACCCAAATCATTAAAAAAAAAAAAAAAAAACCTCACTGCTGCTAAGTCAGGTCGACTCATAGTGACCCCTCTTTGGGTTTCCGAGGTGATTTCACTACGGAAGTAGATTGCCCCATCTTCCTTCCGAGGAGTGGCTGCTGAGTTTGAACCTCCAGCCTTCTGGTTAGCAGTCAAATGCCTTAGGCGCTATGCCACCAGAGCTCCTGAGTTTTCTATCACTTGCAACCAAATGCTTTATGGTGCTGAGAAGTCCAGAGGCCCGGGTCAGGGATGACAGGCCGGTGCTCCCTCTCTCTGGGCCTCAGTCTATTCATCATAGCATCCATAGCACAGGGTACATGGTAAGCGCTTGGCAAATGTTGGTTGAATGAATGACGATTCTTAGCACAGAGATAGTTTTTCACAGCCTAATATTTAATTAGGGTAGGGGAGGCCTTCTCTCTTGCTATTTTGACAGAAAAGCCTGAGCCAAGAAGGGTTCTGCCAGGGCCCCTCAGGCAGGCAGCAGCAGGTTATAAAATGTCAGGTCCAGCTGGGAAGTTGAGGGTGAGAGAGGGCCCTGTAATAACAGTCTGGGCTGCACGACCTGGTGGTAAATGAAACATCTGCTTACCACAAGGCAGAGGTGCAGAAACACAACTTTTCCTTCTTAACAATCCCAACTTTTTTATTTCAACTGGGATTGTTATTGAGGGCAAATTTAAGTTTGTTGAATTCCTAGGAGTTATTTTACACTTTATAATTTGCTTATGTTTAATTGAGGAGGACCTCGGTGTTTACAGGGCTTAGAGCAACCAAAGGTCAGGTGGCCTTGGAGCCGCCTACACCCTCGCTTCGCCCTGGCAGTCCTCCCCGGCAGGGGGCGCTGCGGAGCGGCGGCGCGGTGCGCAAACTTACCAGGGCCACCGCGACTCCGACAGCGAGGCGACCGGCTGCGCCGACGGCGTGTACGACGGCGCCGGGAGGGCTGCTCACCGTGCAGCCGCGCTGCGCAAGCCCACAGCTCCACGCCCGGGCATTCTCAGAACCCCGGAGAGGCGCCTTTGTGACCCGCACAGACGGGGCGTTCTCTCCTGGAGGGAACGTGAGCAGCTGAAAAGGGGAGACTTGAGAGGCTGCTTCCCAGACTAGCCAGCCCTTCATGACACTGAGAAACTTCTCCAGTCAGTCAACACTCATTCATTCTCTCAGTCCACTCACCTCGCCTCCAGTCCTTCAGTCCCTTCTCTCCTCACTCGACCCCTCACAGCCCACCCACCATCTTCTTCCTCACCCCACACTCACACTCACTCAGCTTTCCACACAACTACCCTTCGGGATACCTACTTCACACGTGTTTAACTCAAAGGAGCCCAATTCCTCCTGCTCTGAAAAAAAAAAAGCAAAAGCTCACGCGTGCACACACAAGAAAGAGCGAGAGAAAGATAACGTCAGCAGTATGGAGGTTACCCATCATTCTCTGTGTCACTTCTGGTATTTTGCTGCTCTACCTGCCTTTGGTGGTTTAAAGATAAACATTTTTCATACAAATGGCCCCGAAACACAAACTGACTCCTTCCTCTGAGGCTGAACTGAAGAAACAGACATTCATTCGTTCAGGGGCTGGTCTAGAGTCATTTGACTCCATGAGATTTCCACACACACACACCCTACTACCCAGTGAATTGTAGGTCAGCTGTACTAAGGCCTCCACCCTCATCCTTAAACCCTTGGGACAAGATGTGTTGTAGAACTAGTGCATTTTGGGCGTTAGGAAGGTAAGTAGCATGGTGCACCCCAGATGTCAACAGGAAGCATGTTGCTCCTGTTGCCACTGGCAGCCCTCTTGTAGCCATGAGGGAAGTCGGTGTGAGATCAAAGCCTATTATGTAACATACCCAAATGGGATCTGGGCTACACATCAAAATAAAAAAACATTAATATCCCTGCAGGAAAACACATGAATATTCAAGCCAAGTAGGATAAAGATGATTAACCGGCTCCTGGCAGGGCTTCCCTCCAAATAATTCACACAAATTGTTTGGGGGCAATCCTTACCACCCCATTTTATAGATGAGGAAACTGAGCTTTGGAGAAACAGAGTGACTTTTGCAGGATCACCCAACTAGCAAGTGGGGAAGTCAGATTTGAACCCAAGGCTGGCTGTCTCTAGAACACCACGCTTTCCCTGCAACCCAGAATAAAAGCACAGCTCCAAACCCAGCCTGCTCTCCTGGGAGCTGATTCCTTTCATCTCTCTGATATTTAAAGGGATGCTCCAGCAGTCAGCTCCCTACATAGCCCAGTGACTCACACATTTCAAGTGTCAACGACTGAAAAAATGATTAAGTACAATTAAGTTCAGGACTTGTTAAAAATAGACTCTCCTCAGAAGGATTTACTCTCTCTGCCTTTCTGGATGCAGACCTCAGCAGCTCCCATGCAGGGAGGTACAAGGCTTTTTTCATTAGAACATGCCAGAATCGGTTCTGCTAAAGAGATCATCGGCTTTCATCAGCGGGGCTTGGAGCAGGGTGAGATGCCAGCTTGCCAAAGCGATGAGCCATCGGTGAGAAATGTTGGCAGTAGCAGACTCGACGAAACAGAGGTGGAAATGAGAGCCAGACTGCAGAGGAGCTGGGCAAAGGCATTGGGACACAGACCCAGAAGGTTGGTTGGCCAAGTGACTCCTTGGCTATAAGAATCAGGAACCCACTGAGATGAACTCAAAATGATGGTTTTCCCTTCTCAGCATCTATTTCCCCTCCTCCTGCCTCTTGTTGTTTTGTTCAGTGCTACTGAGTCTATTTCAACTCATGGCAACCCAATGTGACAGAACAGAACTGCCCCATAGTGTAGTGCCTAAGGCACTTGACTGCTAACCAGAAGGCTGGCGGTTCAAACCCACCAGCCACTCCTCAGAAGGAAGGTTGGGCAATCTACTTCTGTAGAGATACCGCCTCGGAAACCCAAGGAGGGGTCGCTATAAGTCAGGGCCGACTCGATGGGACATAACAACAAGATCACCAAGTCTTTGTCCTGCAGAGCTGCTGGGTGGGTTTGAACCGGTAACTTCTCATTTAACAGCCGAGTGTGCTGCTGCCTAACAGATCCCAATGTGTTCGGTAACTATCCCTCCCCCATTCAGCCTAAGTGACCAGGACTGTTTCACACACCCCTCAGCACAGGTCTTGATTCATCTTACCCAATCATAGCCATTCCTTACCAATGACTGAACAGAGAATTTA